TGGTGCTGCCTGCTGTCGGCCCCCCGGGCCTTGACCTGCAGGGTTTCCCGAGCTAGTCTTCCAGAGCGAACACAACCTTCCTGGCCAGGCCCCGGGTGAGCCCACAACATCTCGCTGCTGTCTACACAGCAATTTGTGGGAATCCTCGTCCGTGCAGGGAGGGTCTGTGCCTCCTGAGGTGTGGTGTGGGTGGGTGTGCCAATGGCTCGCAGGCTACTCCCTTCTTGCTGGAACCCAGGATGTGCTGAGACCCTGGGAGGCACGGGGCCTCGCCTTGCCTGGGTGTCAGGTGACGAGGCCAGGCTGGAAATGAAATTCAAGACAGTGATTGACATGATGTTGACAGACAAGGCCTGGAGAGGGGCGTCCCTGGGGGCTTCTCCAAGGAGGAACCTCTATCCAAGTCCAGGGGTGAGCTTGGTCGTCTAGGAGATGGGGCATCTGATGACCCAGGAGGCGAGGGCCTGTTGTGGTGGCCCATGGGCAGCTGCATCTGGCCATGTGTTTTGTGCTTGGCCCTGGACTCTTGGCCTCTGGGGGCAACGACTGATTCAGGAGGCTGGTGCCCGAGGCCCCCACTCCTCTTCAGAAGGACACAGGTGCGTCCTGGCTGTTCTCCGTGGCTCTGGTCTGTATCTGGGCAAGCTGGTGCCTCAGTCTCCACATCTGTAAATGACAATAGGGTCCTCAGAGATGACACAAAACTCGTGGTCTGCTGCAGAGTGGCACCAGGACACAGTGGCCCTGGTCCTCCCTCGCCAGCCTCACCTGCCATGGCCCAGGGGCGTCCTCTCAGGTGGAGTTCCACACCACCCTCTATCCCTGCCCTCTGCCCCAGGCCACTGTGGTGATGGCCATCCCACTGGGGCTCAGACCACACCTGGCCATCATGGAGGGTTCCTCTGCCCCATGTAAGCAGCCTCTATCCCTCACAGCCCCTTCTCCCCCCAGCCTCAAACCCTGCATCAGCCTGGCCTGCCCTGTCCCCATACCAGGGGATGGCCCAGCTCTCCCTCTCTGCCCGGACTCACTTCCAGTGATCTCGGTGCCTTCCCAACCAAGCCATGTGTGTTTCAGGACCAGCGCCCCTGACTTTGAAGGAATGTAAGGGCCGAGATGCAGAGAGGCGCCTGGGCCTTGTCCTGGGCGCTGACCATGAAAGGAAAGTCCTTGCCCACAGGTCACCAGGTTCGTGTTCAGGAAGCCGCGCCCGGGCCTAGCCCATGCAGCAGAACATTCCAGCCACCGGGACTGGTTGGGCTTGTGGGCTGAGCAGGGGCTCACGTATTCCGTGGATGTTTATGAAACCCAGATTTCCGTTTACTGCCCGATCTTTAGTGACCTTCTTTGTGTTGCCAGGAACAGAACCCCAAATTTATAACCTGGTGCCCACAGGAAAGCAGAGTTTGGCTTTGGATGCCCCCTGGAGCTCAAATGGCCAGAGATCTAGGGCTGCCCTCTCCATCACAACCACCCATGCCCCATACGTGGTTAGGATACTCTCAGAAGGGTGGGAGTGGGTGGTTCCCTCACTAGTCTCCAGGAGCCTGGGGACTCTGAGCACCCTCCCCTGCCTCCTATCACCTGCCTGTGGCCCTGGGTGTGCCCCCTGGCAGACCCAGCAGCCTTGACATCTTGACACTACTGCACTCCCAAGAGCCCAGAATCCAAAGGAGGAGAGCCAGGGTCATGCAGCAGGAGAGAGTGGTGCTACCTTTAAGTGATCCCCAGCCACGCCGGCAGGGCCGGTGGCCGTCCCCGGGAAGGACAGCAGGCCAGTGAAGCATCCTAGAGGTTCCAGGGGCCCTTCTGCTTAGAGAGCACCACGCCCTCTTGGCTCCCCAGAGCCACAGAGCCACCAAGTCATTCCCATGCAGCCTGTTTTCTGTCGCTATGGCAACACACCTGCGTGTGTTCTGTTTGCAGTGCTGGGGGCTGGGAAGTCCAAGCATGTTGTAGTGGCATCCCTTGGCATCTGGTGAGTCCTCAGGGGACATCATGACCTGGCTGAGGGCGTCCCATGTCAAGAGCAGCAAGCCGCTAGCTCAGTCTCTTCCTCTTCTCATAAAGCTCCTAATGCCACCGTGAGGCCCCACATGCACGTCCTCATCTGACCAGCATCACCACCCAAAGGCTCCTCCAAAGCCTACCCACATAGGAATCTGGGGGTTCAGCTACAGGGAGTTTTAGGGACACACTCATACCATGCACCTGCCTAGGTGACCATGGCCTGCTCGAGGTCCAGGGGAGCACTAGACCCAGTGGGGTGTGGCAGTCCCCAGGCAGGGGCTATGGGGAAAGGCTTGTGCCGCCAGGGAGGGCCTGGACCCAGAGTCACCGCCTGGACCTGCCTGTGAGCAGCATAAAGGACCTCAACTGGGGGGTGTGGGGGCTCCCAAGGGTTCCCACATGCCTATGGGGATGGGCAGGGGTCATTCAGGACGTCCCATGGTGTGCCTCCTGCACCCGCACCCACCAAGTGCTAGCTGTTCTGAGTTCCTTCTAGTGGATTCCTCTTTCTCCCCTGTGTTGGGGAAGGAATCCATGGTAAGTGCTGTATCACTGAGCATAATCCCAGCCCTGCAAGGGACAGTTGAAGGGTCCTGTCTGACTGCTAGGCTGTCCAGGGACTTCTGGTGTCCCTGAGGCCCTGCAGGCCCACTACACCCCCTCTGCCAGGTCTTCTCACAGAGCAGCTGCCGCACTTTTCTATATAAATCATCTGACTTGAAAAACAAATTCTTGCCCGTTTCCTTTACTTGCCGAGGGCCCTACCCAGAGAGGGTTTTTAGTAAACTGTTGAATGAATGAGATTGAATGAAATACACATGAGAACAGGCAGCTGAGCCTTGCAGGAGTTGAAGGCACACACCGTTCTGTTTCAGTAACAACAATTATAATAATAACCATCATTTACTGCGCCCTAGTCTCGAGCTTGAAAGGTCTGACTGGTATTTCCCACTTAACACTTTAGCTAGCAATCCTCAGGGGCCTGCAATGTGCCTGGGAGGACAAGCAAACCCAGCAGAGAGGACAAGCAAGTGGCCTGGGTTGGCACCTGGTCCTGAGCAATATGACCACATGGAGCACTTGATTCAAATCGAATTCCCTGAGGGCCAGCCTCGGCGGGAAGCCGGAGAAGAAGCCTGGGTCGGCCCTGCCCTTGCCACTGCTTGCTGGGTGACTTTGGGCAGGACCTCGATAGGTGCAGGTCCTGCCCATGAAAAAATCCGCCACAGGAGCCTGGTCCTTTCCGGCTGAGAACTCCGAGCCTGCCTTGCTTGAAGGTTCCTGCTCAGAGAGGCAGGCAGCTCCCCAGGAGCCTGGGGCCGTCCCACAACCCACCTGGGCCACCCAGCCCACCCCTGACTCACAGAGACCCTGCAAGGGGTGTGGGGTATCCTGTGCCATCCTCCCCAGCCCATGGGGGCAATCACAGTCCCCTGCCTCTGGAGACACAGGGGTTGATGCTTCTGTGGAGGGGGCCACTGAGAACGTCTCAAGGGGGCAGGTAGGAGCAGGGCAGGTGCCAGCTTGCCTCAGGGGCTAGGGAGGGTGTGGCATCCTCCTCCCTCTTCCTCCTCTTGGTTTCCTCAGCAGGCGTCTGTGGAGTGCCTGCTGTGTCCCCAGGTGAGGTTCTGTGAATGACAACAGTGCATGCTGTGGAGGACGCTGACCTCAGCTCACTCTGGGCATGCGTGAGCTCACAGTGCTCAGACTGTCCTACTAGACGCATGCTGTTGCAGCCAAGGACAAGGTGCCCGTGGAGCAGGTGGAGAGGTCCCCAACAGGCCCGTGGCCCAGGGCCACTCCCACCTTCTGTTGTTGCGGGTGGGGGGGTGGGGGAGTCCTTCATTCCCGGGCTTCATATTAGCCCTGATGCACACAAAGGGAAGGGGCTAACTCAAGGTCACATGATGGAGGGGCCAGGGGGCAGTGCTGGAGCTTATGGCCCTATCCCTAGGTTCTGGGGGGGATAGGGGCCTCTGGGCCTGGTCCTCTTTTGAAGTAAATGGATGCTGCTGAGAGTGGGAGGAATTTCTGTTCCGGCCTCAGCATTCCATCCAGAGTCCCAATTCTCTGTGTACAACTCTCTCCATGGCATCTCCAAACAGCCCTGGCTGGTCCACGCAGAATGCCCTTGGCCCCTCCTCCCCACGCAGTAGCTGGTCCTGGAGGTTCCCCCTCCGGGCAGGCCTTGCTCTGCTTTCGCTCAGCCTGTCTCCTCCAGGCTCTCTGTGGCCTGCCTATGGTCGCTTCAGGCACCCAGAAGCGACCATAGGCAGGTCCACCTGCGCCTCCCTATTCCCTGACTCTCTTTCCTGTCCTGCATCCACGACCTGCACTGGGCGCCTGACTTTAAGGAAGGGAGCCGGTCACCATGGGGGCTGCGCTGGTGTGTGTGTGTGTGTGGGGGCTCAACCCGGCAGGACGTGCCGGCTGCCCAGGGTGCAGCCCAGAACCCGGGCGCCAGGCAGACGGAAGCCTGCAACGCGTGGCGAGGCTGCGGGTAGCTTTCCTCTGGAGTCGGAAAGCCTGCGTTCGAACCCCATGTTTGCCTCGCTCAGAGAGGCAAAGCCGGCCGGCGCCCGCCTCCGCTTCCCCGCTGTCAACTGGGAACGCCGGCAGGTTGGCCCAAAGGCCGCCCACGACTCCAGACCTGCCCCGGGCTCGCTTTCTTCTGCGCGGCCCTGCTCGCGGCTCCGGGGCTCCCAAGAGCCACCACCCGGCGGACACCCCCCAGGCGTCGGTGACAGCTCTGCAGAGCCTGAAGAGCGATTGCGGGCAGCCGCCGCGGTTGTCTTCGGGCTGCGCCTGCGCGAGCCGCGGAGCCTGCCGCGACTTGTAGTCCGCGCGACCCGCGGCCGCGGTGCGGAGGCGGGCGGCGGGGGCGCGGCGCCTACACTTCCCAGGGTGCGCCCCGCCCGCGGAGCGGCACGGGGCGGGGCCTCCCGGAGGGGCGGGGCGGGAGGGGCGGGACCGGCGCGCGGAGGGGCTGCGGCGGCGCTGCGGGGCGGGCGCAGACTGTGTGTGGAGACGTCCGGCCGGCAGGCGCGCGGAGGATCGCGCGGGCGCGGCCCCTGCGGGCGCGGCCCCTGCGGGCGGGAGTGTCGGGCGGCCGCAGCCCAGGGACCGCCCGACTCTTGACTGCTGCCGAGATGAGTACAGGTGAGTGAAGGGGACCGAGGTAACGGCAAGTCCCCGAGCTATACCCCGGTGCCGCGAGGGCTGGGTGACATTCTAAGGTTGCACCTGCAGCGTAAGGGGTAATCGCCCAGCGGCTCCACCCAACTTTTGCTCCAGGGTTTTGCAGCCCAGAAGGGTCGTCACGCAGACCCTTACCCCTGCGCCCGGGGCGCTGAGCTCTGCGGCGCGCGCCGAGCATCCCCTTCTCTCCGCGCCGGCCCGGGTGGCTGCGCAGGGTTATCTGGTAGGTGTCACTCCTTTGCTTCTCTCATGGTGTCTTAGGTTTTTCAGGCTACAGAAAGCAGAATTTTCCGGAGAGGGGCTCAGAGCTATTTCGCAGTTCTAGTCACCAGGCGAGGTGCGATGACAGCCGGGCTTTGCAGCAGGGGGCGCCGCCCTTGCGCTGCTCCTGCAGCGCCTGGGTGGGGGGCGTCGGAGCCCTTGGCTTGCTGGGGCAGACCCCGAGTCCGCTTGTGTGTCAGGCCCTGTTCCATCTCTGTGCCTCCTCTCTGCAGCCCTTGGCCGCGTAAGTCCCAGGCTTGCTCTCCTGCCGCTCCCACCCACCGGAATCTGACAGCCTCTGCTGTGCTGAAAAACCCCACGCCCAGCAGCTCGTGGGTGCTGTATGCTGTTGGGGAAACTGGGGCCCAGAGCCCAGAGGCCTTGGTTGGAGGTTGTTTGAAGCCCGGTCGGAGATGCACCCTTCTGAAAGCCTCCTGGGGCGTGTGCTGTGACGACTGGTGCCTACAAGCCCAGGCGGGGAGGGGCTGTCGCTCCGATTTTTCAGGGTGCATCTCGAGGTTCACTGGCCTTGAGTCACTTGGGCTACCGAAGCTGGGCTGAGTCAGGATTCGAACTCAGGGCTCCCTGACTTCTGTGCGATTTCCTCCAAGCCTGTCTTGCTACTGACTGCAGTATGGCCCTTGGCCATGGTGCAGAAACCAAGGGGTACAGCTGCATTCCCCAGGGGAGATCAGAGGGGAAGGAATGACCATGTAGTGACAGCTCATTGTGGGCTTGGGGCTGGGGGGGCAGGGTAGGGAAAATGCTTCCAGGACCCCCTTTCAGGGGAGACTGTCCCCTCCCCCATACCTAACCCTGGACGGAAGGACTGCTCCTGTGGGCACTGAGAGCAAGTGGCAGGCTGCCGGAGGCGGAATCCTTTGGAAGAGAATTTCTGAAATGGCCAACCTGTTATCTGGAGGTGGCTGGGGAGGAGGCACCCTAAGTCTTGGCAGGACCTCCAGACGTTTATCTAATGGCAGGTGGGGATAATGCCTGGATGCGTACTGGGTAATTTCATGCTTTTTGTGACCATAATTGATACCTCTGGTCCCTCCTGTAATCAGGAGCCCTTGGAAGGAGCATGTGCACCTCCGCTCCCACCCCCATGTTTGTGGTTGTTGTCCCTGGAGAAGACCAGCCAGGAGTGTGGGCGAGGAGCCTGGGTTTAACTGTATGCACCTGGTGGCCTTGGCACTGGGGGTGCCTTCGGGAGCATGGCTGAGTGACTTGGAAGTGTGTAGCCCTGGTTGCTGGGGGTAGGGACATGGTACAAGTAAGAAACTGCACACAGAGGGCCTTCAGGAGCTTAGTGGTCACTGCTGGTTGGCCAAGCCCGCCTCGGCCCTCCTGAGTTCCCTTTGGAGGGGGAGTGCGGGTTCTCTCCTGTCTACCTGTTGCTCACACCTAGTGCTGGCCTAGCTGATTACACACCCATCACAGGGGAGAATGGACAGAGTGGGCCCTACACTGGCACATGGACTCCTATATCCACCACTGTGTCCATCTAACAGGGCAGAAGCTGCCACACACAACAGGGCAGGCTTCCCTGTGGCCCTCCCAGGGCTCTGGGCTAACAGGGGTGGTGGGGCAGCAGTTGCTCAGATGGGCAAGGTGACCAGAGCCCATGGCAGCCTGTGCAGCCTTCCTGGGCCAGGATCCCCCTTCCTACAGGCCACCAGGACTATGTGTGACTTTGATCTGAGCACCCAGGCACCTCTGAGCTGGCCCTGGTGTGGCATGCAGCTGTCTTCCTTGCCTGTGGATTTCCAGGGGCAGGGACATTGTTTGGACAGTGCTGTGGCAATATGCAAAGAGATGGCTCAGTATCAGGCCTGGGTCCAAGTCCAGAACCCGCTGGGGGGCTCCTGTGCCTTGGTGTCTCCAGTGATACAGTGAATGCCTTCAGCCCTGGCACAGCCCACACGGTGAGCCTACAGGTGACGACAGTGTGGTGGCACCTTTGTCACATAGTCATAATGGGCCAGGTGGGGCAGGAAAGATACCTCAGCTGGAATGGGATGGGGACCCAGTGCCAGCACTGCCCCTGTGGGTACTGTAAGGCCCATGGTGCCTCTGAGCTTCAGTGTACCCCTTGGGCAGCTCCAGTCTGGCAGGTAGGATTACCCAGGTGGGCAGAGGTCCGTGGTGTTGACTTGTTGGCATAACAAAGTGCCCCGTGCCACACAGTGTAAATGGCAAACTTACTTTTTGACAATGCCAGAACACAAAGACTGCAGTCGCAGTTTGTCAGGGTTGGTTCCTCTTCTCCTTGGCTTACAGATGGCCTCTTCTCCCTGGGTCCTCACACAGCCATCCCTCTGTGTCTGTGTCCTGGTCTCCCCTTCTTGTGAGGACACCTGTCAGACTGGATGAAGACCCACCCTAGGGACCTCCCTTTATCTTGACCAAGAGTCCTCACACAGTCACATTCTGAGGTGCTGGGGACTAGGACATCAACTTATGGATTTGGGGGTACACAATTCAGCCCACAATAGGGGTGCAGGGCCAGGTGGAGGGCCTGGGAGCCTGGCTCAGCTGTCTTGTGCTGCGCTGGAGAGGACCAAGGATGCTCCAGGCCACATCCACCCACCTGCCCAAGGGGAACTGAGGCCTGAAGAAGGAAAGAAATCATCCAGAGGCACGGAGAGGAGGTGACCGAGCTGGACCTGCGCCAGTGTGGCCAGTGTGGGCCAGGGCTCGGAGCAGAGACCCACACTCACCTAACCCAGGAGTGGACCATGATAGAGCCGCAGAGAGGTACACCTCAGTATAACTAGTAACAGCAAAATGCTGGAAACCACCGAGCTGTGGGGGAGAGTTGGACTTAGCCATTCCCTCGTTTCCTGAGTGTCCTGTGGAGGCCTCACTCCAGCCCTGGGGTTCTACCCACAAAGACAGACAAAAACCAGACCTCTCCTGACACTACACCTGGTGGGCATGGGAGGCATCTATAATCAACAAAGTAGTTTGCTACTTTCTAGAATCAATTTTGAGTTTGATGGACTCTTGGAAATTTAGCCTAACTGTTCCAGAAAAGGGAGCGTCCCCTGCCACATGCAGAAGCCACCTGTTCCTCCCCTGGGCTCTCAGCACTGTGGTTTGGGAGCGCTCTGAGCTGGTGAGGGACAGCAAGGCCAGGAAGGGGCCTATCTCATCACTCCTTTAACAGAGCCGCCGGTCAGGGCCAGCAGACTGCAGTTGCTGGCACTCGCAGCTGCTGGGTGTCTGGACTGCTGGCTCCGTGCCCACCGGGCCTGGAGTTCCCTGCAGTGCCCAGCCCCTCCCTTGCGCTCCCTGGTAGGCCCCCAGCTCCCCTGGACTTGGCAGGTCCTGTCCCCAGGCTGCTGTTCTCGGGCTCACATCTGGGCTCTGCTGCCCACCTGTTGCTCATCCAGCCCTTCTGGGCTTCCGTCCAGGGCCACCTCCCCTGGGTCTTGGAGAGTTGCAGGGCAGGGGTACAGGTGCTCAGCAGCCCCTGCCAGGCCTGGGTGGAGGCTCAAACCACAGTTGAAACAGCTGCAGTGGGAGGTGGGCCGTGCTCAGCAGAGGCTCAGTGCTCTGGTGGTGATGCATGGGTCTGTCTGGCCGTCGGGGGACCAGCAGGGGGTCAGCCAAGGCCGCACCCCGGGCTCCAGGTGTACACGGTTGCCCAGGCCTGGGAAGCCGAGGCTGCTGGTGTCTGGCAGAGCAACCTCAGTGCTGTGGCCTCTGCTTACTCAAGTGTCCCCATTGCCACCTGGCAGGTGTGTCTCGGGTGTCGGGCAGCACCCAGGTGGGATGGGCTGAGTAAGCCTGGGCCCTGGCCAGACCTCATACATGCCTTCTCCAAGGATCCTCTCACGGCCTCCCGGGACATTGTGGTGGCCCCACTTTTAGGTGGAAAAATCCATGCCCGGGAGGTCCCATCCGTCACCTGGCGTCAAGGATCTGTAAGGGGTGGAGGCCAGGTTGGAACCCCTGGGCCTGGCTCAGCCTGGCTGTGGCTCCCTGCCTGAGCGGGGCTCTAACTGTCATCCCCTTCCGGCTTTAGCTGTAGCCGTGGCACCTCGTCAATGTGTGGCCCCCCATGGTGCTCCTTGGTGGGGGTGCACACTGCTCCTCAGGGAGCCACCAGCACCCTTCCTGTTTCCCAGGACTGCACCCCGCCAGGAAGGCAGAACCAGGCTGGTCTCCCGCCACCTCCCCCGCCTCCACAGGGTGGCTGCTGGGTCATCATGTGGCCCGGGGACCACGCGGAGACAGCTCAGACAGGGAGGGATTCACCACATTGGGCTCCTGTTGGCCTCCATGACCGTCACCCTTGGGTCCCAGCACTGGCCGCCTCACCTGGGGTCCTCAGGTCCCCTGGGTCCTGCTCTGGCTGAAAGGCAGCAGTCCCAAGTCCTGGGCCTCTCCTCGATCCCACAGCCCAACTCACCTGGGGGTCCCAGGCTCCACCCCCACCCTGCCTGGACCTCCAAGTGGCCTTGGCTAAGTCATCTTCCCTCCCTGTGTCTGAGTGTACCCTTCTGTGAGGACAGGGCCATCTTGGGGCGTGACCCCCATTCCTCTGGGCTGGAAGCTGACATCAGCTCAGGGAGCTTGCTTTCCCGTCCGACGGGGAGCCACAGGGCTCTGACCTGGCGCTGAGGCTCCCTGGTGAGGGGAGGCACCTGTCCCTCCACACCTGAGCAGGAGCGCAGTGGCCGGCTCTTGGC